AAGTAACATACTCAGCATGTGCAGCAGCAAAGATGGGTCATTATGCCAACGCGTGGCTCAGTCTCTGCGCTGCATCGAGAAATGAACCCGCCCCCTAATTATCACCCCAGACTAAGCGGCTATATTATGGTCCCTGTTTTCTGATTTTTTTTACGAAGCGCATCTCGGTATTTCTGATTAACCTCATCCACTTTCACCTGACAGAGAACTCAAAGGCACGTTCCGCGCTGGGAGGGCGGAGATCTATAAGCTCGTATTAGGGGGCTGAATGATATATAGCCATTGTGCCATGGTTTGGTTTATGTATGGATGAAAATACCTGGGTTCCAGCTCAGGAGGTGGTGGGGTTGTAACTGTAACAAGCGCGAAGGTGTCCTTCGTGGGAAGAGCCTGCAAAAAAATTCATTCAGGAGATATCAGTAAAATCTTTAAACGATAAACTATGAAAGCTCAGGTAGATTCTTTGATTTGGCCCATGCTTCAAATAATTGTAAAATAGGTGTCAGAAAGTAAGTAGAGTAAGAAGCTGAAGCCATTCTCGTTACGCTTGGGTTATACTGACTTTCCATGCTTTTTAAAAATTTTGGGTAAAAGTTAGGAAAAACCGGGAAAATGACCACCGTGGAACAGCTATGTTAGAAACTCCGAGCAATCACAATTCATCCCAACTTACGTCAGTTGAAAATTCCTGGATATCCTCGGTGACCGGCTCGCGATTCTGCTTTGGTATTAATGTCGACGAATGTCCTTCCAAATCCTCGTCTTTGGGCGTAGAATCGACAGGAGCTGGAGTGGAGCTGGAAGAACCTCCAGCTGTCACTGCGGGTGTCGTTGCTCCCACAACTCCGTTGGTAGTCGGCTGTTTTCCATCGACAATCTCATGCTCATTTCCTTCAGAAGAATCTGGAATAATCGTTGCGGCTGCTGTAGGATGTGAAGACGATGCTTCAGCAGGAGGTACTGTTGCCTGTGTTGAGCCTGAAATGCCAGAAGTGGGTGCAGGGGAAGTCGCAGAAGAACTGGTCTCAACTTTCAAAGTGGAAGGTTGAGTTGAAGATGTTCCAGTCGCCCCAGTAGCAGTTGTTTCTGCTGGTAACTTCGTGGTAGTAGACTGAGGCTCAGAAGTCGTTCCAAGAAGGTCACCATCTTCAATGGATTCAGTACCAGTCGGCTGCTCAGAACTGGGTTGAACAGGACCCTCGGTAGACACTGAACGGCTATCTGGTGTGGTTTTAGAACTGTCAGTGGGTGCTGTGGCATTGTCTGGACTTTGTGTGGTAGGCTTCGCGGCCTCAGTTGTACTTAAAGACTGCGGTGCGGACGTCGTCTTGGAAAAGTCGGCAGTTCCTACTGGGGAAGTAGGCAGCTCTGTCGTAGCAGACGCTTCCTTAGAAACCTTTCCTGCAGGAGTGCTGGTCGTAGTGCCCTCGGAGATCACACTTTTGGTCACTGGAGGCTCAGTCTTCGTAGACGGTTCTGAGGTAGAAGGAAGACCCTCCTTTGTCGTTTCCGAGGAGCTTGTGATCGTTGTAGCTGTAGAAGCTACCACTGCTCCAATTGTAGGAGTAGTGGCTGAAGTCAAAATAGATGATGCAGCTCCCAGTGTTGTTCCAGACGAAGCAGAAGTGCCTGCGGGAGTGGCTGTGGCTTCTGGGCTTGCAGTCGTCAGGTTTCTTACTAGGTCTGCTGGTTCTGGAGAGGACCCAGGGCGATCGGAAGTGACCTTGGATTCTGTTCCTTCTGGTTGTTTTGATATAGACTTTGACGGCAGTTCGGTAGTTGAAGAGGTACCATCTGAAGTGGACTTCGACTCGGCAACAGTTGAAGTTTCTCCTGATCCGGTTGTTGACCTAGCAGTAGCGTCAGTACTGGAAGCGGGAGACGTAGACTGGGACTGGTTAGTGGTCGAGGCTCCTCCTGGCCCAGTTGTTGGCTTACTGCTGACATCCGTAGAAGAAGCTGGAGACTGAGACTGGCCAGTAGTTGAAGCTTCTCCTGATCCAGTTGTTGACGTAACAGTAGTGGGAGCGGGAGATGTAGACTGGGACTGGCCAGCAGTTGAGGCTCCCCCTGGACCAGCTGTTGGCTTGCTGCTAACATCTGTAGTGGAAGCGAGAGACGTAGGGGTGTGGTCCGGTAGTCGAGGCTTTCCCTGATTCAGTTGCTGGCTCCTTACTGATACCTGTCGTGGAAGTTGGAGACGTAGACTGGGGTTGGCCGATCGTTGATTCTTCTCCTGGTCCAGTTGTTGACCTAGCACTAGCATCAGTAGTGGAAGCGGGAGATGTGGACTGGGACTGGCCAGCAGTTGAGGCTCCCCCTGGCGCAGTCGTGGGTTCACTACTGATACCCGTGATGGAAGCAGGAGTCGTAGAACGGGACGAATCAGCAGTCGAGGATTCTCCTGGTGCAGTTGTTGACTTAACACGAGCATCAGTAGGAGATGTAGACTGGGACCGGCCACTCGTCGAGGCTTTTCCTGGTCCAGTTGGCTTACTGCTACCACCCGTGGTAGAAGCGGAAGACGTAGGGTGGGGTAGGGCAGTCGTTGAGGCTTCTCCTGGTCCAGTTGTTGACTTAGCACTAGCAACAGTAGTGGAAGCGGGAGATGTAGACTGGGACTGGCCAGTCGTCACGGCTTCCCCTAGTCCAGTTGGCTTAGTGCTAGCATCCGTGGTAGAAGCGGGAGTCGTAGAATGGGACGGATCAGCAGTCGTAGCTTCTCCTGATCCAGTTGTTGGCTTACTGCTAGCAGCCATAGTGGAAAGTGGAGACGTAGCCGCAGTGGAAGCAGCAGACGTAGACTGGGACTGACCAGTAGTCGATGCTTCTCCTGGTCCGGTTGTTGGCTTACTGCCAGCATCAGTACTGGAAGCGGTTGTAATAGAAGCGGGAGACGTGGACTGGGACGGACCAGTGGTTGAGGCTTCCTCTGGTCGAGCTGTTGGCTTATTTCTAACGTCCGCAGTGGAGGTCGGAGACGTGGACTGGGACTGGCCAGTAGTCGTGACTTGCCCTGGTCCAGTTGTTGGCCTGCTGGTAACATTAGCAGAGGAGAGAGGAGTGGTGGAGGCCGACACAGCTGAAACTCCCGGATGTTCAGACCGTTCCTCTGTAGGCAATCCAGTTGTTGAAGAACCATTTGGAGTGATACCAGAAGGAGCATTAGTGCCTCCGACTGTAGTACCTACTGGAGGCTCTGAGGTCGACGAAACCGCTTCCTGTGTGGTTTTAGAAAGATCAGGAATACCAGATGTATCTGATTCTTTGGGTCTGACTGTCGTTAGATTACTTACCACTTCTGTTGTCTCTGAAGTCGTCTCAGGACTCTGCGGGGTGGTGCTGGATCCAGAACCTTCCGGATGTTCAGTCGTTTGTTTAGTGAGCTGGACAGCTTCAGAGGGAGAAGTTGGTTTCGCAGCTGTGGTATTTTCTGGACGTTTTGTTGTTCCCTCACTGGTTGCAGTTCTTTCGAGTGTCGCTTCCAGTGCTTGGGCTCTTCGTAGTTCCTGAATCCGTTGAATTGTCAGGTGTCGATTTTGTGGGCACTTCTGTCGAGGATGACAGAACTCCATCTGCCGTCGTCGTCTTCGAAACGCCACTGCTGCTTGTGATTCCAGAACCTTCGAATTGGTCAGTTTCTCCGGTTTCTGGTTCCTCGGTTTCTTCTGTTGCACCAGTCGGGCTTTCAGTCGTAGACTTGGTTGGCGATGCAGCAGTACTCGATAGGGTTTCATCGGTGGTTCCCTTTGCTAGTTTTGTTGATTCCGATCTGAACTGCTTTGGTTGCCCAGTTGTAGGCGTTTCTGCAGTCGTCGACTTGTCTGCGTCAGTTTCCGTCGTCATTGCCGGCTTCTCGGAGCCAGTTACGGTCGTTGATTCCGTGGCAGCCGATGTCTGGAAATGGATGACTTCAACATGGTGACTTGAAAATGCTGTCACTTCAAAGGATCGAGGACGCGGGCTCACCTTTGTCACTTCGGGTTCCTTAGTTGACGTTTCCTTTGCCGTCGTAGATGCTGCTTCTTTGGAGATCGGAGTAACTGAAAATAGATTTCTGCCATTCTAGCTTATCTCTGCCAACTTTCTGATGCGGTTACTCTATCAGTCAGGATTAGATCCCTACCTCCAGGGTATCCTTGTCCTTCCAAAATCAAAATCGGCGTGTTTGTCACCTTTTTCTTCATCCCGAGAATGCTGAACTATTCCCCGAGCAGGACTTGAGCCTACCGCTTACCGTGCGAGTGCGCTAACCATTAGACCACGAGGGGGGGCCCTACGCTCGTTCAGCTGTATGATGGGGCTGTTCGTTCATTTTTCATTTTAGGGGGGGCATTTTTCTCCTTGGCTAGTCTCCTTTGTCGGCTCATGTTGATTAACAAGTTGCAGTTTGGTGCGATATGTAAACCTGCAGAGCGCTGTAACTGAGCCACTTAGGTTACAGGAACTCACCGTCTCCACAAGGTGGCCTGAAATAGCTTCGTTAGGTACTATTTGGTGCCCCAGCAAGCACCTGAATGGCTCTTATGCCATATTCTTGAATTCAAACTTTTCTTTCGTCCCATCCATAGTTATTTCAGAAGTCGCTCCCAAAAATATTCCTTGTTAGTGTTATGGGCGGAGTCACATTCTGTCCTCGCTGATTTACCCTACCTTTTGAACGCATCGGGCGCCGAGGGGCATCGTCAGTTCCACTGGTAGAAGGGAAGGGTGATTTTGCCAAACCTACTACCTGCAAGAGCTACTCTCTTTTTTCAATGATGCTGATGAAATTCTCCCCCCCCCCCAAATCTCTGGTCGTCAAGGTGGTAAAGAGGCGATGGGCAAAGAGAAGAGGGAAAGTGCAATGGACCACGTGTGCGCGCATACGATCAGGGCAAAACGTGCCTTCGGATATTTCACCATACTCAGTTGCTGGCGTTATAAGAGGGAGTAGGAGCTCCTAGTTCGCTGGCTACTCTTACCAGTTCATGATAACTTGCAAACCTCTGTGTGTCTTGTAAGCTCTTCATGTGTAGAGGAAGCTCGTGCTAACCTGGCTTTACAAATTCAGAGGTCAGCACAGTAGGCGTCGACAATGATCGATAGGAACCATCAAAATACCTCCTCTCCTTCCATCCCCCCCCCCACACCAAACAAGGAGGTCCGGTTATTTCGCAAAGTGGACTTTCATCCTTCCAAATTTTGTAGCTGCTAACCCAGGCGAATAATAAATGTGTTTTTAATATCGCAGGAACAAGTAAATAAAATAGGCTCACCCGTAGCAGAAGCAGTCGTGGTAGTTCCCATAGAAAGTACCAGATCAGGTTGAGTTGTTGTCGTTTCCATGGTGAGAACAAGATCGGGTTGTTCAGTAGTACTGCTCGCATCGGCTGTCAGAGTTTCCCCTGATCCTTCAACACCTTCAGTTGTTGCTGGTGCTTCCGAAGTGCTCGTAGCAGATACCGTCGTTTTGGACACACCTTTGCTAGATTTTCTGGGTGGTTTACCGTCAACACCCTCTGTATCGATATCAGGCTCACCTTCGGTGGCCAGTTCGGGCTCACCAGTTGTGGTTGGTGTAATTCTTTCCATAGGACCTATTTCCAGTCCGAGTTCGGTGGTGGGGAAAGTCGTTCCAACCCGTCCACTATGCACAATCTCAAGACCGACGTTATCACCTTCGACGATAGAATCAGCGGTGCTCGTGAGGACTACTAACGCACCGTCAGCTGGCTCTTCACTCGTGCCAACTGGGCCAAATTCGGTTCGCGAATTGAAGCTACCTGATTCTCCACGTTCCTCTTCCTCTTTGACGAGTGGTTGTGAAGGTGGGCCGGAAGCATTCACCGTCTTTGAAGCATCGGTCGCTGTGGTCACGGTAATGACGAGATTCCCCTTAGTGATTCCCTTCGAACCTATGAGATGCTCGCCGGAACCTTCCAGATCAACAACTGTCTTCGGTGGTTCAGTCGTTTCTCCACCCGAGCCTGGCCGACTGGCAGTAGGTCTGAAAGATATTTCCAGGCCTTGTTCGTCCTCCTTCGGTGTCATTGGGTTCTCGTCGTTTTTAGCACCCATGTTGTCCACACTGACGACAGGAGTTGTGGCTACGGGTGGAACGGCAGTGGTTCCAGAAGGTTTTGTTTCCGAAACCCAGCAGCGGGTTTGGGTTTTGCTTCAGAATCAGGTCCAGGCGTCAACTCTACAGTCTTAGTTCCAGAAGCAGTAAGCAGGACTTGCTCCAGAATCTGTAACGCCC